GAAGAATAACAATTAAAAAGAAGAATAAGATTCAAAGTTGGCCAACTCCAACAAATAAAACTCAAGTATTAGGATGTAAGAATGTTTATTCCTAATTTTGGTCATTTGGCAGCACCTTTAAGAAGGCTTACAAGATTAAAAGTGGAGTTTATATGGAGTCAAGAGTGTGAGGATGCTTTTAATTTATTGAAGAAGATTGTTGGGGAAGATATAATATTATCAGCTTTGGATTATAATGAAGAAGCAAGTCCAATTATTCTAGCCGTGGATTCAAGTCATATAGCAGCTGGAGGAGTATTAATGCAAGCGGATGGAAATGGGGAAGTCAGGCCAGTATTCTATGAATCAGAAGTATTTACTGAGGTGGAATCAAGGTATTCTCAACCCAAATTAGAGCTATGTGGTGTGGCAAAGATTCTTAAAAAGTTCAGAACAAAGTTATGGGGTCAACATTTTGAATTACAAGTGGATGCAAAGGCTTTAATTCAGATGATTAACACACCAAGTTTACCTAATGCTGCTATGACAAGATGGGTAGCTTTCATTCAATTATTTTCATTTGATTTAGTTCATAAACATGCTAAAAGCTTTGGAATGCCAGATGGATTATCAAGAAGAATGCGTGGAAGTGATTCAGATTCAGCTGAGAGTTTTAATGAGGAGGATAAAGATATTAAAGTATATGAAAGTTTTAAATTGCAGAATGAGGATTTAACATCAGAAAAAGAGGAGGAAGAGAGTGGAACAATTTGGGCACAAGAAGGTGTTTGGAAGTATTTACAAGAGTATTTAACAACTTTAAAAAGACCTGAAGGATGCTTGGATGATGAGTTTCAAAGGCTTAAGAATAGAGCTCCTTCTTATTACGTGGAAAATGAAAGATTGAAGAAAAGAGGAGTACCTTATGGAAGATTGGTTGTTTCAAATTTAGAAGGACAAAGGTTTGTTTTAGAGAAATTACATGAGGAATTAGGACATAGAGGAATTGAGGAGACTTATAAAAGATGTTTGGTAAGATTCTGGTGGCCTGAAATGAAGGAATTTGTTAGAGATTGGGTATTGACGTGTGAAATATGTCGGAAGAAAAGTTCAAAGAAAGAAAAAGAAATGGGAAGGGCAACTGGTGAAAGTACTTTATTTGGAAGAGTGAGCTTGGATGCAATTCATATTAAGGCGGGTAATTATAATTATGCTATAATAGCTAGAGATGATTTAACTGGATGGGTAGAAGCTGCACCTTTAAAGAAGTTAACAGCACCTGCAGTGGCCAAATTTATTACTAAAGAATGGTTAATGAGATATGGTTCTGTTAAATGTTTTACTGTGGATGGAGGTTCTGAATTTAAAGGGGTATTTAGAGATGCAATTGCTATGTCAGGATCAAAGTTAGGGGAATCCACGGCATATTGGCCACAGTCAGAAGGAATGGTTGAAAGAGGTCATAAGGATATTAAAGGAGCTTTGGTAAAATTAAGTGATGAGACTGGGACTTCTTGGGAAACATTTCTACCTCAAGTATTATTTGCAGACAGGATTTCCACGAAAAGAACCACTGGATTATCTCCTTATGAGATGTTATTTAATCAACTAGCAATTTTACCCGTGGATTTGGAAGCTGGGACATTTTTAGGTATTGATTGGGATATTATTTACACTGGAGAAGATTTATTAAAAGCAAGAATGGAACAATTATTGGGAAGAGAAGAATTAATTAAGAAGGCTTATGAAAAGATGATGAAGGCAAGAGTAGATGGAATTATATATTGGGACAAGAAAAATGCGCATAGATTAAGAAATCCATTAGAGAAGGGAACTTTGGTATTAACTTATAACAAAAGTTTAGAATTTCAATGGGGAAAATTATTTAAAAATAGATGGAATGGGCCTTATAAGGTAGTTGAACAACATATGGGAGGTGCTTATATTCTAGAAGAGTTAGATGGAACTCAATTATCGCGAAAATATGCTGCTGAACATGTTAAAAGATTTTATCCTAGGGGTGTGGCAATATTAGCAGAAGAAGAGGAGGTGGGCATTGAAGAGGAAGAGGCGCAATTATAAGTATAAATTACCACTAATAATATTATTAATTTCAAAAGATAAAAATATATATAAAAGATTAAAAGAATTAAAAGACCAGAATAAAAATATAAGATAAGATTTAAAAAAAAAAAATAATAATAAGGATATGTTTCACTAGTTATCAGTATAATAATTATATTAAAATTTTAAAAGAAGATTAAAAATGTACAAGTTAAAAGATATAAAAAAAAAAAAAAAAAAAAAAAATTAAGGAGAAGAAGGGAAAAGGCGTGGATCAAGCCAGCTTGGAAGTTCATAAATAGTATAATTATAATCAGTATAAGGAGAATTTACAGCGGGAATTACAGGAGGACTATTATTAACATAATTAATTAGAGGAGGTTCAGTATTAGGAGGATTGGTAGAAGGAGTACTGTAGGGGGATAAAATAGCAGCATTTGCACGCTCAGCATGATTAAGGAATGGAATAAAAGTTGCTACAGTCAAACACTCATCTTCACCCCTTCTTGAAACATACTCAGCTATAGAATGTGCACGCAACAAATGATAATGATTATTAATTATGTTTGGAACTTCAAAGCCTGCTTCTTTAAATTGTCTGATTGTATCATCCAGGATCCTCCAAGAATGCCAATTCTGATAAGTTATATAATCAGTTTTCCACGCCAGGTTATGTTCATATAATCTTTCAAAAAATGGATCAGATGTAGTAAAGTTGGTTTCAATTGATGAAGTAATAGAGGGATTAGGGGAATCAGGTGCTGAAGGCGTGTTATTTAAATTAATATTATAAGGGTTAAGGAAATTTATTCTGATAGGAGTATTAGGCGTGTTTGGTGGAGGGTAATTGTTGGCAGGAGAATTAGGTACAGGTGAATTATTGGATGAAGGCGCTGAGGGGTAGGCTATTAAAATTAAATAAAGAAAAGACATTAAAAATTAGTAAAAGAATTAAATAAAAACATTGAAACTTATTATAAAGAAAAGAAGAAAGAAATAGAAGAAAGAAATTGGACTTACAGCATATTATTCCTAGACTATGGCATCTTTGGCAAGCAGGATTGATTTGATAGTGGCAGGAGGAGTTTACCATCCGGCATTGGACACAAGGTGAAGCTACAGAAGGTGAAACAGTGTTGACCATATTGGAAATAAAGGAAAATTCGAGAATTTAGTGATTTGGAGTGTTTAATTGATAAACTGGGGGCAGTTTGGAAGAAGAGGAGGATGTGGTGATCAATTAAAAAATTCACAATTACCAGTTTACCAGTTTATTAGCAGGATTCAGCAGGAAAGAAAATTCGAAATGGAGGTTTTTGATCAATTGAAGCTCTTGTAGGCTTATGTATTGGTCATTAGGTCAACATTACATCATTTTATTTCACATTATATATTAAGATCATTATAGTTTACTTACAAATTTATTACAAAAAGAAAGAAAGAAAAACATAAGAAAAATTCGAAATTATAGGTATAAAGGTTGGAAATTGGTTTTTAGGTTAGTAAAAATAAAGTTATGGGTATTATGAGGTTAGAATATGAAAGAACAACATTATATGATACTATGACAATTTTAATCTTCAAGGTTGATAAGTAGAAACAGAAGTTATTAGGAAAAAAGCACTTTTTCGAAGTTGGTAAACAAGAGGTACACGTGTAGTTTGGTTGTGTAATAGTGGTAGTGATGGAATTTAAGGTTGCCAAGAGGATTTTCCGGGATTTTTAAGGCTATAGATGATGATGTAATATTACATGAGCAAGAAAGGCTTAGTAGTAGCTGTGAAAAGTGAAGAAAATGGGTGAAATTCGTGGAAAATGGAGGTTTTCAGCTAATTACATATGTCAAATGACGTCAGAATAGGTTGATAGATGGCTCATTCAACGCAGAAGAGTAGATTACATAATGTACAAACTTTAAATCATTAGTAACGGAGGTGTGTGTAAAAAGTTATAAGGCAAATAAAGAATTGGTGTGAATCTCGAATTTACAGTCACAAGTCATATGTAACACTAAAAACCTTAACTTCACAACTCAATATCTTACTCATCACTCATCAGAAGTAGGTCATGTAGGTGTCAGAAATGATCAGTAACACGTGGACTACAAGATGCACTTTAGTAATCAAAAATTGGAGCACATCTGAAAAAATTCGTAATCTCAAAAATTGGTTTTCAGCTAGTTTACAAGGAAAAAATCACCTGTATTCATCATAAGAAGTGCTGTACATCATATTATTGCGTCATTGATCACTTTTAGGTGTGAAAATTACATCATTTATTAGTAACAAAACCATTACATTGCGTCATCATAGGGTTTTTAGGGAATTTTGGGCGGATTTGATTGGTTTTGAGGCTGTTGACCATTGTAAAAGTTCTAGTACATTGTTATATATACTTTGAGAGGGTTTTGGGACTGTTGTTCCCTTTTTTTTTTCTTTATCATTTACGCCATTATTATTTTGTTTATCATCATAAACTTATTTTAATAGTACCTGTTCACTTAAATACGCCCTTTATTACAGTTATAAAGAGAAATTTACTTTAGTTTTATAGTCATAAAGACTTATTGGGAATAATATCAATCAGATATTGCTTATTTTTTTTCAGTTATCAATTGGGAATAACACTATAGCAGTGTTGATAGTAATACAAAGTGTGCTTTTGAAGTTAAAATTACGTGTGAAGTTATATTTCTCTGGTGCCTTATCAGTACTCAATACAACAGAGCTCTTTCTGATTGTGTTGTTTTAGAAGAGCAGTCCTTAGACAACTTCTACTAGTCATTTTATTAGTAGATTATCCTCTTCCAGCTCTGTATAACCCTTGTTGGGTTATAAGTTCTACAGCGGCCCATTCAATGGCCGCGGTAATCTGGACCTGAGTGATGCACTGAAGGCTCCTTCACAAGGACCCTCGCTGAACGGTCTCAGTCAGTGATTTGACATTGGTGCTCATCCATGGCCAATCCCATTAGGCCCAGGCAGCTGATAGGCCTATTTGTAGACCACTCTTTCATCGGGCGTGCAAGTCAGGAAAATTCCGAAGGTCTGACTTCACAATTCCCAGGCAGCCCGCTCAACGGATTCAATAAACAAGGTTCCGTCAGGAATAACTCCAATGGTAATTGTAGTTATCCCCTGTATAATCGACCAATGCTGACCAAACCATTTCTCCCCAGGTTCCTTAGACTCACCTAGAGGTCGAAACGACGCCGGCGACCTCGCTCGTAGCGCCAGTTTCCACGCCACTCCCAACCAGGACAGCCATCGCGGGCGGAACGCAAACCATCATCTGTTGTCTCGAGATCGAGACAACAGATCCGTGTCTCCATCTCAACGAAGGAGTGGCGGGCGCACCGAGCCTCAGTGGCCATCCCGTGGAATGCCCAACACGCAAACGATGCGCGAATCACAAAACACGGACTTGCCCAATAGGACGATGTTTGAAGACGACATCGCCGACGGGCCACCTGGTTTTTCTGCGCCATTATCAGCGCAACCCATGGAGACATTCATGGCGATGTCAACGCGATTTGGTTTGGAAGAGCCTTTTCAGGCGTTTGCGTTGTACCAAGCGGAGGTAAATTCACCTCCCCTCACTGTCGGAATCAGAGTGTCGCCAAAATAGATCAATACTGACGTTAATCTATTTTATATGCCTTTACATCCGACGGGATATCCATTGTCAAGGTCAATGGCTATGACCACCGCCACTTAGCTCAAGCCACGGCCAATTCGAAGCTCCTGATGGAGCTTGGACGTGTCAACAGCAAGATTGACACGTTAAACGGCCAATTGGCCACCATCACAGAGGCAGTCATTGCCCTCACGCGAGCTCCACTTCCCGCACCAGGTCCAGGTGCCACTGGAGTGGTGGAACATGGCCCACTGGGCGACTCTTCCGGTGGGGGAAAGTGGGTAGCAAGCGCGAAACTCACGGTATACACACTCATCGCATTTGTACTCAACCGCAATGTTCCCACACGTAGCTGACCTTTCCCTTTTTTTTACTTTCAGGGCGTCATTAATCCCTTGGCACTCAAGCTTCTGTTTTCCCCTCTACTCGAAGCCTATACAGCTATCGAAACTCGGGCAGAAGGGTATCTGCCCAATTCATTGTTTAATACAATCAAGGTAAGTCACACGACGGTCATGTGATTGTTTGCTGAACTGATGCCGACATCCTCGCTATCCCCCTCACGATAGAAAAAGGTTGTGAAAGAAGGCGCTGCCTTTGCAGAGGAGCACCTTCCCGTCCAGGTCCTTGGCGTGGAAGACGCCAGCGACACCCAAGCGTACACCAGAGCGCTGAAAGGCGCGGGGAAACAAGCCAGAGAAAAGCTACATAACGTGGTATGTTCCAACCTTTGATATTATGTACCAACAAAGTGCTAACACTGCCAGCATTAAAGAGGTTCCCAGATGGGAATATGGGTCCTAGTGATCAGATTCCCATTCTGCTACTGTTACACAGTTCCATCAATATTTCCTGAGTAGCCATTGTGATATATGTAGTCAATATTTTGAAATGTGTGTCTCAATCTGAACAAAGTTACAGCATGTATTACACATGATTTTCTTATCTAGATGAGCAGATAACTGAGCGGACCTGTATGTAGCTGATAGCTAAGGATTTATTCAGATGTTTGCACATATGTAGTGTATGCTTTATGGCTCAGATGTGCAGTGCAAGATGATTTGATGCTCCATTCTTCTCTCAATGATATTCCCAGCCTAGGTCATGTTCCGACCAGGGAACCTATTTAATGCTGGCAGTGTAACGGACACCGCAGCTCTTGGTAGGCATCCACGATCCTAAAACGAAAGAGGTTGTTGATACTGCAGTCCCCGCCATCAAAGACATGGTTCAACGAGTATGTACATGTATTTCGCTTATGCCCGAATAAAGTACAGAACTTGATACATGGTCACATGTTCAATTTCAGGTGGCCGTTAGGTGTGGTATAGCAGGTGAGAAGGCAGAAATCGAAGCCGTGTGGGCGGCCACCGATTCACCAACTCGAGGTCGAATTGCCTACCTGGTGAGCACTGTGATTCCATATTTTATTTATGCTAATATGGCTGATGCTTGGTTTTCTGGCTCAGCGTCGAGAAGCCGCGCGCCTGGTGCTCAAGGGAGGCCGAGGTTGTGAATCCATCTGGGCTGTAGTGGATAAGAAACTATCCCAGTTGCGACTGAAGCGGAACAGTGACTATACTACTGCGTCAGTGAATACATAAGCTTGTGGATTGTCAAGCATAATGAAAAGCTTACACCCATTCAACCACAGCTTTTACCAAATTATATTCGACGAGGATGTCAAATATTTTGACGGAAATATTTGGTTCAAAGATTTGAAAGCTCGCGAACCGAAAGTTACGTTGGACATGCCTTCCGAGGAGGCCATCCTGGCGCGAATGGCTGGACACATGGGCAATGGAATCCCTGGTGGAACAAACTTCCTTCAACCAGGAATTTAAAAGCGCTAATCTAAAGATTGTATTAGACATATGATTTCTTATTTACATATTTAATCAATGCGAATTCGTAGTTCCTATTACTTTGCGTCTTATTTCATCTGAGAGTTGTCGCGGTGCTGTGTGAATTTCCAAGCGTGATTCATTCAGGATAAATCTCCCTGCAAGGTTAGCTGAGCCGAAGTGAGCAGGTGGCTGGTGCGGAAAGCTGCGCCCAGCCACCTGATACCTGGCGCCCCGCATCGGATGTCCGCAACCTGGGTCGGAACGGGGCTGCGTGCCAGTGCCCCGAATGCAATCTGCCTCGGGCCATGACCCAGCTGGCCGTCTGCGGTCGTATTACAGCCGACCTGCTGCTGGCTCATGGCCGCATGCACGCGCCTGCCGAGCTTGCCTGCAGGCCGTCATGAGCCAACGAGTTTGGCTCCAGGCGGTCATAAGCTAACTGACGGTCTTAAGCCTGTTTGCAGACGCCAGCGGGCGCGAACATCGTCGGCTGCAGGCGGGCTCAGCAGGCGGCTGACAGTTGTCAGCCGTGAGGCCCAACGGGAGACGGCCTGCCCCTCTGCAATGGTTGGCCGTCTGCCGCCGGCCTGGCTGGCCCGTCTGTAGACGGCTGGACACCTCTGTGGTGTATTCATCTGAACGTTTCATCCCTTGGCCAATCAATATTCCTCCGAAGGATGTATTCCAAACGAGATGAGTTTACTTACGACGTACCTGGCCTTTACTCAGTTCCAACAATCAAATCCAAGACTCTTCACTCTATGAGACTACCTCTATCAGTTCAGCAAGAGCATGAGCCATCCAATGACTCCAAGAGGCATTTTGCGAAATCAGTCGATCACAAATTGATGCAATAGATCAGAAATCACTTTTAGACTAATGAACTATCTTTTTACTTCAATTTTATTTCTTTCTTATTAATTACAGACTGAATCCAACAATTTTACCAAATCTACCATCAATCAACATCCATCCCAATAATCTCAGTACAAGTACAACTTCAATTGTTAATCAGAATCACAATCCGAATTCAAGTACTTCACCCACTTTAACTTTTATCAATAGTAACAATTATAACATCATCTCATTAGCATCTCCTGAAGCTGAAAGAACACCTACTACACCTACTAATCATCATTGAACTATTGATTCACCTTATTCTAGTCCAACTCCTACAGTCATTCAATCTTATAACATTTATCATCACTTTATTCTTCTCAATCTACTCCTGCTTTACTCAAATCCACTCCAATCAATCATTTCAGTTCAGTATCTTTTTTTCAAATCTTCCCTTTCTCCTGTTTTTGAAGCTGATTCATATCTCAGCCTTCACACCAGTCACCATTTCACCTGATCAGATGGGGTTCCATTCATCTCCTAAAAACAATTCTCAATCTCCATCAAATCATAAACAATCGAATCATAATCGGTCTAATTTCTTCATCCCATATTGATCTTACGTGGCACAGTACCCGATATGAAATTGCGAAATAAACTTGATCAGTTAGAAGATGTAGTCGATCTTCTCGCCATCAATCACCAGCTACCTCGGCTCCAACTGCTTTCGCTCCCAATTATCTTGGGAACTCTTTCAATGAAGGATCTCAATCGCCTCGGCGTCATCTGATTCAACCCTCACGTATGCGCACTAGATTTTTTTTGACATATCATAATGTAATGAAGCCAAATTGATTTGCATGTGTTACTTACTTCTTGATTTGAATGGACTATCCTCTTTAAATGGAAAAAGATCGGTACAAGTTTGGAAGATGATAAAGCTGATTGCTTGCTTATTTGGGGTCAGAAGGTTTTAATTGATGCACAATAAGAAGTATTTTTGCTTGGTCCTTTTGCCTCTTTTACTTGGAATATGTAAGCTGACTGGCTATTGGTCATATCTTCTTTAAATTAATCAAAATATTCTCATTGAAGACATATCCTCACCTTCATTCAAACTCAATCAGAACACAATCATCTTACAATAAATCAATCAAAAGTCATATTGGGATTCATCTTCATTTTGTGGGGGGTCGATTAGCTGAAGAACCCAAAAGTGTGCCCGAGACAAGTTAACTTGAAGTTTGAGTTTGATTTCAATCCCACTTTACATATACAAATCTCATCCATCCTCATTAAATCACACAGCAACACCATTCACTTTGGTTTCTATTTTGATTGCTTTATAAATTGGAGCATTAATCATTTCAATTATTAGAGAACTTCATGATTTACTTATCGATGACATCTTGAACAATCTATACTCGAGTAATTTATTTTGCGTTAAGAGTTTGATCAGAAATCATCATGTAGTTTGGTGATTTTTAGCATGTTTGTTTGGAGAAATTTGATGTGATCTTTATGGATTATGATGAGGATGAGGATGAGGATGAGGATGATGTGAGTCTGGGAGAATTAACCACATGTTTTTAACCTATAACGACTCAAGTGAATTGTCTACATACTTTAAAGATCTAAAGAGATACCGGACCAACGAGAAACTGAGAGGCAAGTAAATGGTAGTAGATCAGGACAAGAAAATGGATCATCGGAAGTGAGATCAACTGTTGAAAGGCCTGGTAAGGATTTGAATGTTGAATTTTGGCCAACTCAATAGCTCTCTGTTGTTGCTGTTCATATAACACATTT